AATACACACCCATATATTACTACTATTACTATGCTAGGAACCGTGGGAGGCTTGGTAGATGGTACTTGGCACATCTCGGTGAAATCTTCGAATCAAGTGGTTCTGTGGGTGAAAGAAGTGAAGTCAAAAGGGGAAACCAACAGATTCATCAAAAGGATGCTCGCCATGTTGAGGGCCAGGGCCTAATTCTGTAGAATCCAAAAACATCAAAGGCCAGGAAGATGGCAGGGCTTTTCGTCCCAAACCCCTTGGACGATGGCAGTTGGCATCCCTATGGGCCCGAAAACTGTGGAACTCTTCCGGTCGCAGCCTCGCCTCGGCCCAAGCGGTGTCCTCCAGGCCACGGCAACGGAAGGCCAAGGAGACCAAGTCCCCTGCGAAGGCGACCGTGGATCGGATGCGAAGTCAAAGCCCATAGAGATGTAGACTTTGGAAGGTTTCTTCTCCCTTCTTTTTCTGTGACATAATATTATAACCATATATCTATCCATATATCTATAGACTAGATATAAGAATACACATTCGGACATCGTTCTTCTCGGAGTCATCCAAACCAGAAACAACTGGATCAGATTGCTCGCAAACAATGGTCAACACGGTTGACCATCCATGCGGTGTTTTGAAAAGGTCATGACAAAGGTCGTGACAAACTCCACAACCGAGTCATCGATGACCGTCTGGGACAACAATTGATTCTCCACGGACCAACTGTTGTTTCTTCCAGTCGTTTCCCTAAAAAAACACTGGAACCTTCAAGGTCAACCGAACTTTCCACCTGTTAGATTTGGGTGGGGTGTCCCCAAGAACGAAAAGAAACAAAGGCTATCCAAGGTTATCCACTGACCTCTTCACCCTACAAGCCCCAAGCCCGCCAGCAGCTTGGCAGTTAGGCAATCCAGAAGCTAAGGATGAGGCTGCAAAGCGCATGCAGGTACGCCTGCCTTGGCACAAAAGACAAAGAGGACCAAGCATCCTGTTTACTTCTTCTGCAATTGAGCTAGGAAGAGACCACGCTTGAGGAAATTGCGGTACATCATTACTACGATGCGTCGTTGTAAAGGAACGTTTCACAACACTTTGATGCCTGCATTGTACATGTTCAGCCGCCATGTTGGATTTTCAGGCAATACAAACATAATAAGGGCCCTATCTTCATGAAAGACATGCCCGACCAATAGGATACACCCGGTACTCAATTGTGTAACTACACCATCTGTCAACGTTCCGCTCTTTGGGTTCCTTTTGGTTCACTCAAACTGCCAGGTACCATCCTCATTCTGAAGACATCTACTCAGATTCTCCCCGTTCTGGGGGCAATTCTTCTTCACGTGCCCTTTGATTGAATGGTCGATGTGTTCAGCCTCTCTCCGCTGTTTCTGTTCTTCGCTCGATCCCAGTGGCAACTCGTTGGCAATGTCCATGGTCGAGAGCTCCTGGGGACATCGGACGGCCATTCGATCCGCGGCCGTGCGATCCGCGAAAAGGAGCGGCCGTATCAAAGCCATGCATGGTTGGTTAAGCCCTGTGCAACCCAGGTTATACATCAAAGCTCTGTGCAACCAGGAACAAGTCAGCTGGTGGATCATCTATTTGGTCAAGGGTGCAACGCCAGACTCACAAGCACAAGACAAGCTGAAAGCCCCACGATATGAGCCACCAGCCACTTGAAAAGGAGCCTTGGATGGATCCGCATACCTTGAAGGTAAGACTGGGCCCGAAACTGGTGCCTACTTAAATATATCCTTCCTCGCCGTACCTCAGGTTCGGTATGTGGATCCTTCGGGTAGAACATTTTGTGAAGTTTACATCCATCAATGAGTGTCTCAATCACCTCCCTCAACAAAAGGAACATCCTGAGAACTGTGGCATTCTAAACACACTGAGAAAGCCAGCCCCTGTACTGGCAGCTTCATGCAGTTTCGCACCTGCTTCATGGACTGTCGAGTAATTTCAGCCCCAGAAAGCGAAAGACTAGAAGCAACAGGTCGCTGGTGATCTTTTTTTCACCAGCTATATTTGCTGGAGCTTGCAGGGTCGTGCAGGGGCGAAGAAAGCTACAGATTTCTGATGAATATTGATGCCTGGTGATTCTTTCCAGGATGTATTGACTCATAATGTCAAATGTTGATCTACCCCGTGGATCTATGGAGTGGGAGCTTTAATCTGTGATAATTTTAGACCTCAACCCCATGAAAACCTATGTCACTATGTTCTGTACGTCTCCAGATATAAATATCTCAGGAACCGAGCCGGTTTATTGAATCATGTTGTATGCTTGCATTGCAACTATGATCCAAGCTAAACATAACAAGAACACGTCTTTCACAAGCAAATTCTGACACGTCGGGGAGTTTGCTAAGTTCAAGCATCACACACGAAAAGGAAACAAATGTTCAACTCTTTGTCAATTCAACACTATCTCTGGCAAACAAGCGCCTGAGAGCAGCAGCCTCCAGGCCGTTACTTTTCAAGGGGTCCTGCAACACCTCATCGGATGATCATTGTCAATCATTGTGGGCATTCTACAAACCCAAGATCAACCCTTTTCTCTTCACGAAGCTTCTTTCAGAACCCTCCACAGAGCTCCCAAACGAAGAGCTCACAGGTCAGGGGCTAGGGAGGAGGCTGGCATCGCCTTCAGCCAGCGCTGGGGTGAAACTCCGAGGCTGCCAGACTAGTGCTTCGCTTCGTTACTTCCTTGCCACTCACCTATTTGGACAAGACTCGTTCAACATGGGTCCAAGCATTCCAAGTTCAACAGGGTGCTGGTTGTGTCTGGAATTTAACTCGCAGGGTGTGCCTGCCTAACTGGCAGGAGCCTCTGGCATGATTTTCCTTTCGTCGCGTTTCCGACCTGAAACAGATCCAGCAGGCACAGGCTGGTACTGGTCGGCCACGACCGCAGAACGCCCACAGAAAGGGCCGCTTTAGGTCCCCAGGGTCGAGAGAATCGCCACCCACTCATCGTAGACCTGCTCGGAAGGACGAGGAAGGACAGGACTTGATTGCAGAGGACGCTGCTCAAGAAGCATATCAGTCATGTACACATATAATATATAGATGTGTGTGTTTTTAACCATACAGGCACGCATACAGTTACAAATTGTAAACGGTAGATTGATAACAAAAACGGGCCCGGAGATGTAGAACCATTCTGGCACGGCAAGTATGTCTAACGTGGCTACATAGCTGCTAGCACAGCATCAAAATAAGTGACAGAAAAGGAACATATATTATATACCCTGAGCATCTGAACCCTACAAATTTGTCGGGTTTGAAAACAAACCTCGGGTTTAGCCGTGACATAAGGGAAAACCTCGGGTTTTTGACCAAATCCTCGTGTTTTGCCCCAAAACCCTCGATAGCCATGTGCAGGTGCTCCATATTCATTTTCTCCCGCCGACTTATCAAATTTTCCGTGGTCAAAACATGTTTCACAATAAGGTTATAAAACATTCAACACTCTTGTCAGGAAAAGTTCGGGTCCGTGATTGAGAGCTCCGATAACCCGTGACAAACCCGTGCCAAACCCGTGATTATCCCGTGTCAACCCATGATTTTGGATGAAAAACCTCGGGTTTTCAGAAAAACATTGTGTTTCCCAAACCCGTGACGAACCCGTGACAAACCCGTGATTATACCGTGACAACCCGTGTTTTTTTCACGGGCTTTAGGGGGTACAATAGTTGCATTTTTGGTTGAGATGTTTTTCGTTCTGATCATCAACCTGGGCTTTTGAAGTTTGAATTCAAGTTCCTGTGGCCCGGCCTTCGAAGATGGCATGGGCGGAAAAAAACACCAAAATGGGAAACCTTGTGTTTCCTCCAAGAACCTCGTGTTTTGGGATGAACCCTACGTTTTTGTCGTGTTTGGAGGCACAAGGTATATATATATATATTTACATGAAATAATCAAATATACCTTCCAAAGAAGACTTCTAGGGTTCATGATTGCTATCCCACTGAGCTTGTGGCCCCCAAATCGCACAAGCGCCTGGCCAAAGCCACGCGCGCGTGAAGGCCACACGGTGCAAGAAGGGTAAGGAGGGTCGGATAAAATGAGTTCTCGGGTATACAAACTGGTGATCAGCACGTGACATTGTTCCACACTCTGACATTGGTTTGCTGTTAACTCAATTCCCACGATGAGAAGGACGGCGATGGAACAGAAAGGCGAAAGAGTCGGCGACAACAGTATTGTTTAAAAAGTGTTTCCGAAAGCGCTCAAGTGAAAGCGGCGTTCAGCAGCTGCAAAGGGGAGGGAAAAGAGTTTGGGGGAACGTATCATGAAGGACCATGAATCAAAACGCGAAAAGTGGAGTCACAGCTTGAAATCGTTCAGCAGGTACACATCCATGGCCAGTGGATGCTTCCCTCTCTGATGCATAGCTTCGTTGGACAGAGTAGCATCAGAGAGCTCTGTCCCCCTGCTTATGAGATGGAAAGCCGAGAAGCACCCTTCGGAACAGGGGTTGACACACACACACGGTGCCGCTTGGCGGCGATCGCGTGGAAAGCCTGAATAGGTACCGAAAAAGCCTTAGAAACAAAAGAAAGAAACACAGAAAGAGCAGCGCTAAGAGGGCAAGAGAGAACGATAGGTGTAGAAAAAAGAAAATGAATACTTAGCCCTTGACTGGGGTAGGGAAACGAGCCTCAAGAGCAACCTAAAAAGCCTGAGAGAAAGCCCAACAAACGACGGAAAGCGCAAGAAAGAAAAGGGGGGGCAGGGAGGGGGTGTATGTCCATGTGTGTGTGTCTGAATACTTAGCACTCTAGGATTCCAGGATTACTGACTACTTAGCCGAGACGAATTACAGTGCATTATAGGGAGCGGGACTTTAGTCTTAAACCGCCCGGGTAGAGTAGACTAGAAAAGGGACAACAGAGGGAAAGGCACCGACACACAAGTGTGTCGAGTACCATTTCCCTGCGTTACCCTAATTATAATATTAGGTAGGGAGTAGAACACGGTGGGGGGGGGGGGGTAGGGAGACCTGCCTGAAGTGGGGTGAATTACGTTTTTAAGCCCGGCGGCTGTCAAATCCGTTTTTGAGCCCGGCGGCTGTTTTAGGTGACAGAAGAGTGAGGGTATTCCGTCGTTTATAGCCCGGCGGCTCGAGAAACAGTTAATTCAGTTATACAAGTGAAGAAAGTGAATTCAGTTATAAAAGCGGAGAAAATGATTTCCAGCGTGAGTTCAGCGCCCCAGTGAAGGGGATCACACCCAGCATCCAAGTGGGACGGCTGAGCGGCTCACACTCTGACATTGGTTTGCTGTTAACTCAATTCCCACGATGAGAAGGACGGCGATGGAACAGAAAGGTGGAAGAGTCGGCGACAACAGTATTGTTTAAAAAGTGTTTCCGAAAGCGCTCAAGTGAAAGCGGCGTTCAGCAGCTGCAAAGGGGAGGGAAAAGAGTTTGGGGGAACGAATCATGAAGGACCATGAATCAAAACGCGAAAAGTGGAGTCACAGCTTGAAATCGTTCAGCAGGTACACATCCATGGCCAGTGGATGCTTCCCTCTCTGATGCATAGCTTCGTTGGACAGAGTAGCATCAAAGAGCTCTGTCCCCCTGCTTATGAGCCGAGAAGCACCCTTCGGAACAGGGGTTGACACACACACACACACACTGGGAAGAGTTATGTGGAGGACCTTTTGAATTTTGGTAAGGGCGAGAACCTCCTAAGTCCACAGCCTACAGGATGTTGTTGAAATCAGCGACACATCCATGCATCGCTCGCGAAGAGCAATTGAACCAGCTGACCTGTCATACCTGAAACAGCCTGACAAGGAATATTGGAGTCTGTGCGTTCTCAAGCAGGTACAAGTCCGTACGTCCAGAGACTCATCCACCCATTTCTCTAGCTTCGTTGGCTAGCGTTGAGAAATGGGCCGCTAGCCCCCTGCTATGCAAAAGATCGAGATGGCGTGGTCATGCAAAATTCTACGGATCATCCGCTTTTACACACACACACACACACGGCCCTCCCTCCGGAGGGCTCAGAAACATGAACCCCATGAGTGAGTCAAGTAGTAAGCAAATCAGGATCCCTGAGCAAGGTGCAACTCCCTATTAAAACCTTGAGACTTTACCATAGTGTACTAAGGGCTGACACCCTGACCATAGTGGACTGACTGGAAGGCTGTTGGACATCCTTGGTAGGTCAGGTGCCTTGGTAAAACAGGTTCCTGATCAATTCTGGTGCCTTAGTAAACGAATGCCTTGGTAAGTCAGGTTCTACACCTTGGTCATTGGGATACGACACACACCAAAGAAAAGGCTCCTCGACCCGACCGCAGTGTCCACTCTCCCTACTCATTCGACGGAATCCCCTGGACCCATTGGCTCAAGTTCCAAACTGAAGCAATTCCGTGGCATGGGCAACATCAAGTTCCCTCGAATCGACACCCCTACCTCGAATCGAACCAATAGAGGTAAGTGACCTTATAGGACCTTACTGGGTATACCTATATATGGGATAGTCTATAGGGTTCTTCAACCTCTGTTGGAATGCCCATCTCCAAGACTCGACTCACTGGGCGGCGAAGAACGTGGGGACCAGCAACCGAAGAAGAGAGCTCCGGGAAGTGTTTCGCCTCCTCCGAAGTTCTTCGTCCTCCAATAGGGCGCACACCGCCTGCAGATTCGGGCAATTGCATGCAAAGGAGTGCTCACAGCAGCAATCTTCAGAACATTGTAAGAGAAAATTTTTACATGGTCCTCACATGCTTTTTGAAGGAACCAGGAAAAAGGATCGAACCACGTCGCAATTTCACACCCCGAACCCCGATTTGGCCGGTCACCCGGTCACTCTCGTCATCCCAACCCTCAGCACTGGCACTGCCGTGGCGACCTTGGCCGCTAGGTGTCGAACTCGCAGCGGCTGTTTGGGTGCCAGGACCGGCACCAACAGCTCCAAGCCACCCAGCTGAGCAGGCGACGACGAGCCGCGCCGCGCCGAGAGTCTCGCGACGCGAAGAATCTCGGAGCGGTGGGAGCGGAGGTCCACACGGTTTTCATCGGCCGTGTGGGGCCCAAAGTATTGTGGGTGACTTCTCATGACGACCCCCATCGACACCCTTTTATGTGGTCTCATGTGGCGGAAGCGGCAGTTGCACCTCCGCCACCGCCTGGAAAAAGGCCGGAAGCGGCCTGAGAACCGGAAACATGCCGCATGTTTTTTGTGTGAAACCCCTCGCACAAAAGAAATATCATCCAACCCGATCTAAACCCAAACTATACTCTTACCCAGCAATGGATTGGGATCACCAAAATGAGAATGTGTCAACAAATGTTCAGTCACATACTTACAAAAGCCGTCCGGCCTCTTTCATGAATGTGGGGTCACTTACCCAGATTCATAAAAACCTGAATCACTTACCGCTTGAAATGGCGTTGCCTTTCCCCAAAGCCTAGTGTGTGTGTGTGTTTTTATTTGTTTCTTTCGGATCCAAGGCTGAGTGGTTCATGATGACCCATGTTGACCACATGTCTCAACACTCAGCACCTCGCAGAACAACTCTTTTTTTGACTGGTGCATGGACATGTCTTGAACGAAAAGCACCCAAGGGGCCCCTAGGTCATGGACTCCATCATGGATCACCAGAAGAGTCACGGAAGTGTGGAGAAAACACCACCAGTTGACTCACTTTCGAAGCTCAGAAACAGCTCAGAACCTCCCTCCGCTGAGCTCGGATGATGCAAAATCCGACCGATTCGAGACTGAATCGTCCGTCCTGCCTCCAGGAAGGCATCCTGACAAGGTGCGGTGGAGCCCGTCGTGGAACGTCCAGTTCACGACATCTAACGCCAGCATCCGCCATCAAACCATGTAAAGTCTGTTTCTTTTTAGTGTGTGTGTGTGTTGGTTGAGTTCAAGGTGTGAATGACATGTGGGGCATACCACTTCTAAAACTATTGCATTGATTGCGTGATGGTTGACTTCGTTGTAAGTTCACCGACCTGGATGCTTGGGCGACCATATACTACGGACAACTCGTTCCGGCTGATGTTATCTTCCCGTTAGCAGGTCAGGGCAAAATCGTCCCCAGCATTCATTTGGCAGGCCTATGAGACGACGCTCTCCTGGATCACAAAGGGTGGGTGATATAATGATTCACAGGAACCTCTGCCAAACAAACCATAACGCTTACAAACACAATCCAACACATATCAAACGTCTAACGTTCATCAAGCGTCTAAGACTTTAGGGTCCATCCTTCCCAACGAAAATGGAACGCCTCCCAGCAACGCTCCTGCCGCTTGGGATGTCCGTGACACAGCAACTGCAGGCAGCCCACAGCGGGTTCCAGCGCCTCGCGACGAGGACGACATCCACATCCACCCAAGAACGAACATCCGCCGACGCGGTCACAACGAAAGACCAAGACCACATGTGATCATCGCACATGTCTCTAGGTGAGAAGAAAGACTCGCATTAATATGCATTAATAATATATTTATGTTGTAATGTGCTGTATACAGTTTAGCAATCGATATAGGGATCCGCATACAATCTGTGGTTCTGCCGACCTTCGGCGGTTCTTCCCGGAGGCAGTAGAACAAATCTCCCGTCGCGTGTTGCACTTGAACTAGCAAGACGCAATGCATCAAAATATATGATGTGTAATGGTGTGTATTTTAGTCAATATATAGGGAGGCACCCAACCAATGGGGCTTAGTCTATTTTCCTTCTTCCAGCCCATATCCTACAATATCCATGATTCCCCCAATGAAGATGCAAGAAGTATACAACATCCACACAACATCCATCATGTCCATCCAAATAGCAAGCGATTAGCAAGCTTCAATCAACATCTGTCAACGGTCAACCATAGATTTCACGAAATATCAACAACTTCCACAAAACTGACTTTCCAGTTGATCCCAACTGGTTTCAGTCCACAATGTTTTCAGACCGAACTTCACGATCCTCGAGGCCTCTTCTTCCGCAAGCAGCTTGGCAAGTGCCCACAGGCCATCGTGCTCCACGAAGACTGCGCAGCGTGCCTGTCATAACGCAGGGGTGAGTACGAGAGAGCTGTCAGGCGACGGTGGAAGGCTGGTTTCTGGGCAGTGATGCTGGGTGGTTTCCAACGATTCCAGGAATTTGGGGATTGAAGATAGGGTACAACACAGTCCACCAATGGGTGAGATCATGGATACGTTATGATAGGTTAAAACACTGCGGATGGTGTCCCAGCGGTCTATTTCGCGTGGACATTCCACCCTACACCACCCCAAGGTACGCAACACTGCGGAGGTCCGCGCATACGTGGATTCTCAGTCCCAACAGTTTTCCCCTGCTCATTCCAGCTGCACCTTCGGTCACCAGTTCTCCATTCGCACCTGGTCACCACACAAGACCCAGCAGCATGCACCAAGCTCCTCCGCCAGCTGCCCGGCACAGGATCCGCTTCTCAGGTGCTCGCCCAGGGCGCCCGCGGCGGGGAGCCACACGTCCTCCACACGCGGAGCAGCGCGGCGCCCGATGCAAAAGGGGCCTCAAGATATCTCCTTTTGGAAGACATTGACAAGTTGCGATCATGTATATATATATATACAATACAGAGTCTAACAGAAGAAGTTCCCTTCATTCTACTAATAGGATCAAAAAAGATCAAAAAGGAAGGCTTTCACTCACCCCAAGCATCAATGCCTTCCGCCCCCCCCCCGCTCTTTGGCCGGACTCGGATGGCGCGGACGGTGTGACCGGTCTCCTGCGGAAATTGCTCCAGTTCGAGGGCCATGCGCGTCACCAGCTTCGCCTCAGACCGGAGGCACGAGGAGAGTGAGTTGAAATGAGTTGCGCTGGAACTGAATCCTGGATGGGCCCGGACAACCATCATGCCTTGGTTTCAGTTTGGTTTCAGTGACACTTACTGACCAATTGCGTTTTTTCCTGGGAGGGACTAGAGTTAGACCACAAAACTGGAAAGAAACAACAGGTGTTCGATGGCTTTCGTAGGGGGTTTCTCCCCCCGGACGGCTTTCGAGGTGAGGCAACACTCTTCAAATGCAGCAAAAACCACAGGATGTGCGCGTGCCCTCTTCGTCACGTGCCTTGTCTCTCATGTGTTCTCTTTCGATACATTCAAAGACCGCAGCGTTTTCCAAAATGGTGCAGTCCAATTTAGAAGCTAGGATGTCGGACACTCAAGATGGCGAGCTCGCCACGGGTTTCGAGAAGCGGCAGCAGCTTCAACACCTGCAAAGCATGCGCTGCAAAAGCGCAAACATGATCAATGCGTCCCTTGCAGGTGAAATGTATGGTGTAAACTTTGCAGGTCAAGCGAATCTCAAAGGACATGTGACTATAATTACTATACCAATTCAGTGGCTGGAACCAAATTAGGACATTGACAGTATAACTTTATTTTAGTAGGTAATACGTTATGAAATAGATGTCTATACCTGTGCGTACCAGTATCTGAACATATCTGAAGGCAACCACACATCCACTGGCAAAGGCTGAGAAGCCAAAGCTCACTGTGCCAAGGCACTGCATCTTGCTCATAGAGTTGCCGCATGGCTTCCTGGCAAAGCCAAGGAGGAGAGCCTCCAAACATACAAGTTGTACATACTGTATCTCATTATCTCATGATCGTAAATTCATCTACAAGTCCAGAAAAAGAAAAAAACAAAACGGACCTGGCAACACTTGACCAGATCTACAGGTCTACAGTGAACTCAACAGGTCTACAAATCACCTGTTCACCTGGATCGATGGCTCTTCGCTCATCCGTTGGCGCATGCCCCGTCGGCGAGCTCAGGAACCAAAAGCAGTTCGGGAGCGCCATGCAGGTGTTCTATTTATAAGTCTTCTTCTTCTCAACCAGTGATCTCTTTCTTGGCCTTTCATCAGTCTAAAGTCCAAGTCCATGACCTCAACCTCAACCAACCAGTCCACCAGAGTCCCACCACTCTCCTTAGCCGGCGATGGGAGATCCCCAGCCTCCTGTGATGACAGGAGCAGTAGAGCGCCGACGGCCGCAGTGCACTGCGATTCTGCCGCAGCCAGAAGCACCCGCACACCTGGTGTTTCATGATGTTTCTCGCGGTGACATAAAGATGCCCTATAGGCGGCAAAGACATGGGCTTGGTTAGCCAATGAGCTTACGATTGTTCGTATAGGATTATAATATAATATATTTATATACACTTATATATATATGATATGATGATTATATATTAAATATGGGATCCACAATTAAGTATTTTGCTCAAATACATATAGTAGATATTTAACTATATATGCTCAATTGTTTACCCTTTGAACAGTATTATTGCAAGTCAATTGGGCAAGATCGAAACCAAAGATTCGGCACCAGCTCCAATCTGGGATCCATGGCGGTTCATCACAAGACTCAGCACTTTCTCTCACTCAGCACTCTGATTTGATATGGAGTTCTCCAATGCCTTGCTGTTCTTTTTGTTGCTGTTGTTGACTGTTGAAAGGAGTCCAAACATACTATATAGAGACATGAGGCATACCTATCAAGCAACACTTGCCGCCCTCAACATAGGTCGAGCCTTACCAAAGAGAGTTCATGAAACGACTGGAGAATCGTTCCAAAAAGGTGCGTTGTGCGATCCCGGTGCATTTAAACCAGACCACGAAACATAATGGCCCTTGATCGTTCTATGTGGGTGTGCATCAAAATAGGCCAAAACCCCGTTAGTTGGGGGTCCCCTTCTAAAAGTACTAACTGCTGTGAGTCTGGGGATTTGCATGTCATAGAGAAAATCGGAGATCAGGAAACTCGTCTTCCTTTCTTGCGAGACTCATTGTTGGTTATCTTGGTCTCTCAACTAGCGCTGTCCCCAAAACTTCTCCAAAAGATCCTGTAGAATCCTGTAGAAGGAACCTTTTGGAAAACACATGTTGGACGGCAAGTCTAAGTTGGTGATTGCTTTGTTCAGGTGGTCCCTAATGGCATCTCTGCTTTGTTTGCGCACCTCCTGTGCGGCAAAGCTCCAGGGCACACCCCTCCTGCCATCGTCGGCATGACGAGTTAGTCAGGTATGTGGCCAAAATAGAAAACTACCACACCAAAATTCAACCTACAGACCCAAAGAAGCACTTGCACTCCCTACGCCTAAAACTAACATAAAAACTTAACTAGACAATACATCCAACATGGCGAAACATACTGAACCAAATCTGAACCTTCTCCTCGTGCAATTGGTCAGTACCTATATACGGGTTGCTACAAGCGTCGGGGTTTAGTCACCCGGGTTTGCAAAAAAGTCACCCGGCCGCATGGAATCGCAGCATTAGTCAAAAGTCACCCGGCTTGCGAAACGTCGCCAGTTTTATGCTAAAACACCATGGACATGCTCTATTCTATGGAAGTATGTTTGCCAAAACTGCTTTACATCAAGAATTCATTGCTCCGGTGTATCCACCTACCCACGTCGATTATCTTCAAATCACTTTTTGGTAATCTTTCCTCTAACCTGCATGGACACCAAGCATCCGAGCAATGGTGTTAAACTGATACTCCAAAGCTTATCTTCCAATTATATACCCATCTTGCACCTAAACCGCATGGAAACGCAGCATCCAAACGACTTTCTACAAGACCCAGCGACTTTTAATATGTGAGTTCTTCACCTCACTCTCAGTTTCAGATTCGATACTGCCTCCGCGCACAAATTCCAAGCGAGGCGCGCCGCCTCCGCACCGCGGTCTGAAAGGATTGGCATCGGTCCCTGAAATGACCAAAAAGGATTTTAAAGGTCATCTCTGCGGTATTATTGAGGCAACTGGATGTTGAGGAGGCTAAAACGTAAAATAGATTGATAGTTGATTGCCACGTCCAGTAGAAAAAATGGACCGCACTGAATGCCACGTTATATTCAGGATTCCCCAAGTGCTATATAGGTTAGGCTTCTGAGTAAAGTTACTTTCAGAACCCAAACCAAACCAGGGGTTCTTGTTGCCGTTGGACCCCAGCAGCAAACTAAACTGAAAGAATTGCATGCGATCGAGTGGGAGGCCACATGTCTCTCCCAACCCAATTCTCTACAGGTTCTGTAGTGTGATGAGGCCGACTCATATTTGTATAGACATGCCGGATAAACATGTAGAGCGCCCTGCCAGCAAAGTCCTCCCGACGTTTGCATGGATGTCCTTGCCCCACCCAAAGGGTTCATTGGATCCTATATATAATTGTGGACCACCCGAAACCATCCAAACACATGTTCTCGGATCACATAGGTGTAAAGCCTTTTCCCACCAATGGACGGACTGATTGATGCCACTGACATAAAAATATGGATTAACTTGCCTGGGGGCACGCCGAACACTGTCGGTTGTCGGTTTACATTTGTTTCTGCAGTGTTCACTGCTATGACCGCAGGTGTTGAAGCAATGCTTTAACCCAAGGTGTTGGTGTTGAGAATAAAAAACACATCCAGGCACGCGTGATACGTCACCCTGGCACAGCACATGTGTGTCAGATGACCAGCGCCTCTTCAGTGCTCAGCGATGGTTCCAACCAAGGGCGTAACAACGTCACAACACCTCAATGGGTCAATCATGCCGAGACTGAGCATGGTCACCACGTTGATGGCAGTTCAGTTTTATGTAGCATGTTATAGCCGTGGATCTGCTTGGAGGCTTCAAAGGTTGTAAGGCTTATCAGTCATTGTGTTGTTTTAATGTGTTGCTGTATTCCCACAAGAACCAGACCGGATCTTTTGGATGCTTTGGGAGAGGTTATATGCCATACGATCAGCGGCACAACGATGCCGCAAAAACAGGCCTTGTCAGGCACGTTGATCTCAAAAATTCTCAAAATATATTTGGCACACAACATCCGCTCGAACAATTTCGACTTGATTTGTTTGGCTTCAGGGTAACTGAATAGATGGAACAACCCACAAGATGTCTTTTGGATTGAGCGATCTACCCGCAATCCGCTATACATCTTCGGCTTAATGGCCTCACTTCTTCCCTGACAACGCATGGCAGCGCAAGCACCTCCTCTCCTCAGTGCCCGCCGGCCAGCTGGCTCCTCTGCTAGCCTCTGCATCAAAGACAATGCCAGCCGCTTCGCCAGACTGGCGCAAGCTGCCCCTTCTGCACCTCAGTGAACAAGTGGTCGGAACTGAAAGGCAAGCTAAGCTATGGCAAGCTTGTCATGATCCATCTATTAATACATCCCACGGCATGGAAAGGATGGTCGGCTTCGTACAGATCGAGCAGCATCCTGGATTCCTACCTTCCTACGCTTCCTAATATACCTTTCCTGCTCCAGAGTTGCCATGGGCGCAGCAGTGTGCAGGGCCGTATCTCGTTGCCGTTGCTCCCCTCGTTGCCGTTGCGTAGACGTGCAGGTCACGACGGTCGTGGTCCTGGTCGCTGTGAACGCCGCGGTGCCGTAAGATCGGCTAACGTCATCGTTCCAGACTCAGTGGGTAGGTTGATACTCCTTGGCGCGTTGATGGGGCTCTGTCTGATGGCGCGAGGAATCTGTGCAAGAAGATTTCAGGAAGACCAGCGTGAAACACGAGTCACATGGGGTGAATCGAAGTGCGCTGGTCCTGAGCATCAGAGAAATCACTTGGTATACCGGTCCTGGAAGAGCTCTTGGGTACAAACCACCTGCAGGCCTGCAGGCCAGCAGGTGCTCATCCCTTTCTGCATCTGTCGGGTACCTGGTACCCTGCAGGATCACAGCCAAGAAGGGGATAGAAGGGGTGCAGGTGCTCAGGTTGCTTGTTTTCAGATGTTGTCAGTGCGGGCTCGCCCGTTTTTTTCGTGTGATTTCTTCACTCTGACTTCTGACCTGCTGCTATGAGAGCATGTGTTTGTCAGGCTGCTGTGTAGGAGTGCTGTATTCTCGCCATTTCTGGACAAACTGACGTGGCTGGACCTCGATGACCACACGTTTAAACGTCGACCCCAAGTCCATCGAGCATACTAGGGGGGGGAGCATGTTCGACCCGAAGGCAGGGCAAAATGGGGTCGAACCTGGTTGAACCACCTTTTGAATGAAAGCACCGCGGTATACTGTTATACTGTACAATTGTAGTTGGTAGCATACCACTATGGTTATACACCTGAATCATTTGTAGCACTTTTCTTTGAGGGGCACGTAGGGTTTGAACACTTTTTGGACTAGTGACTACTGTAACTTATCTTTTTTAAACACAACATGCGCGCTTTTGGTGGATTTGAAGTGTGTTGAACATTTTGTAAGATGTTTAAACCTGAAATGATCTTGGGCCAAAGGTGGAACCCAGCAAAATGCACGTTTGGTGCGGTAAAATGCAAACCATTTGAAACGTGGCGAACCACCCCAACATGAGTTACAAAGGGTTTCATGCACGTTCTTGGAGTGTTACGATCGCGCATTTTGCTTGAATGAGCACTTAGCTTAAATGTATTTCTTTTGCAGCAGCAGGAAGCTTCAGGCAGTTGCACCCACTATGTAGGCTTAAGGCAGCACTTTTTCCACCTCAAAACCCTCTCTCACTGCGTGTCCGTGTTCTGACCTTTAGAAAGGGAGGTATATACAGTAAACTGGGCCTGGGTGGACCTCTTTATTCCACCCTCTCTGCTACTTGGGGCAAATGGTACTATTTCCAATGTCGCTGCGGCTATATGTAAGATGCCGACCCAGGCCATTTTGTAAGAAACAGTGAACAGTATCTTTAAATGAGAAACCAGTTGAATTTTGGCCCACTGGGTCCTTGGTAATACACTGTCCTCATCATTCAATAACCAAACGGCTCTCTTGTGGTCCAAGTGATATTCTTTGTAGTACACTCTAGCTCTTTCTCAGCGGAAGATGAACGGCTCACAAAAAGGAATCTTCCACCTGGGTTGGATGGAATGACAAGGAAGGTGATCAGGAAGGTTCTTGTAAGAAAGAAAATGAACGTAAAGGTCAGAAAATAAAGGATTCGGACCAAGCGGTTAGACATGCTTTGACCATAGTTTTTTTGTGCTTCGCGGATGCATCACAGGGCTTAAGGTTTGGATGAAGTCGATCAATATGACGGCGGTTCTACTGGACAGGTCCGGTTCCACTAGACTCCGTTGAAATCATCGCTGTTGGTCGTTTATGGTAGTAATGCCTTTTCAAAAAAGACTCTTTACTGTAATTAATTACGGTGTTCTTCGTTTCCTCAAGCCCCATTTCTCCTGGACCAGCCCTACTGCTGTTGCATGTCGACATGATGACTACCCCTGGGGGGGCGTCAGCAGATTCGGTCCTGAAGGGTACGGGATGTCTTATTTATTGGCCACTTGCAAGCCTCCAAGACCACTCCATACCGCTCCACAAGCCAAAACGTATCATGGGGCATGAGGCAGATCCGAGCAAAACACTTCACCCTGGGCTGAAAAACGGACCTTCACGAGAGTATACCGATGCTGCGAGCCATGTTCGCCATGTTCAGAAATAAACACTTGATCGCTCTTGGGCCAGGACATCCAAAGTTGATGGATTTTGGAGTTTGGGGTTCAGGGTACAACATGGTGCAAAAATGATGTTCATGTGTGAAAGGCACCAGAAAGGCACGAGTCGCAGCACCATCATCACAATTCAAGTCGCAGGCACCTTTCGCACGCGGCCTCAATGGTGCCAGCAGCTGTTGGAGGTTCTCCTCCTGAAATCAGGGGCTGCGCAAAGGTGGGAGGCTCTCAGTATTTCGCCGAACCGGACCTGCGCGTCGAAATAGCATGTCGAATCGAAACATATGATTTGTTCCATCTAGAGGCCATTTCTTCGATGAAATCATGTGATATCAGATTCCTGGTGATATACTTGAAAATCCAATGGCTGCACGCAGGGCCTGAAAACCCTGCAAAAGTCTTTAGATATCCAACAATGGTCCTTTCCCAAAGACTATTTTTAAAATAGTCCTGGACTCTTAGGGTATATAATGTTTACAGTTCACCGGGGAGTTGTGTGGAAGTAAGCACTTCCACTTTCATAGGCCGCCACCATGTGGTGGTGCCCCAAACCACCGACCATCTGAAGGATGCTGCGAGATCTGTGGTCTTTGTTGGAAAACTAGCACCAAACCACTGCGTGTTTCCAACATTTGGTCTGAACTTTGCAACCGAGTCCCCAGAAACCCTCCATGCAATGGAATAGTAGGCTCTTACATGGGGCAAACGTATGTATATTCCAGTCCCGTGGATGGTCTGCCAATGACGACGGTCCGCCTGGCAGAGTGCGCGGCGCCCGTTGGGCGTCTGGGCCACTGCCAGGAGGGCCTGGGAGGCCTGGCGAGGGGCGTGAGCATCCGTGCAAAGCAACCAAACACAAACGAGCGACCCAAGATGGTCTGCATGAGTCTACCATCCAAAACCGCCGTTGAATGAATTGAGCCATCTTCCTGGCCTTTCGGGGTCGATGGGTCGAATTGGCTCGGGGAGAGACCTCCCAGACCAGCCGCCCCGCGCCGCCGGGTTCGGCTTGGGCAAGAGATCCGTCTCCCCCGCCAGGGCCGCCAGCACCCCCAGGGCCAGGTGGTCTCCTATTCACATTGGAAGGATCCGAGGTGGTCCTGGGATCCAAGATGCTTGTTAATGTCAATGAGATTCACCAGCTTTGAGGTGGATTGATGGGTCACCCAAATGGTCAATCTTCACGGTTCGGTCAAAGGTTATATACCAGGATGGATGGCCAGGTGCGAGGAAGGAACACATGGTGGTACTGTGAACTGTCTCTCTTCGGAAGAAGATGCCTCTTGCCCGTGCAAACAAATGCAAAAAGGAACAATGAGGACATATGAAGCTGCAGCCATGTGTGCAACCAATCCTGATGCTGCAAACACCTAGTGGACAGAAGGGACAGTCACGACAGACTTCCTGACGCACATCTAAACGGCTTCCTACTGCTCAGAGCTCGCAGCCGTTGCAACGGAAAGCCTTGAGTAGACTCCCAAGCGGAGAACCAAACTTCTTTTGCACTGAACTGAGGTTTAAAAGCCAAAAACAAGGAAACCGAACGATCCCCTGACGGGCGTATGCAAAACAGATCAGCAACACAAGGTGAAATGCTCAACTTGGGACCATTCTTGAATGCAAGTAGCTGGGACCTCGCTAGTCCAGATCCAACTTTCAGAGTCGGTTGATCACGGGCCTTGAGAAGAATGACACGGCTGTACAAGGAGTGGATGACAAATGACGAAAAGGAGAAAGCGTGGGAGACGGGTTCGTGGGCAAGGAAAAGGAAGCTTCCACAGAAATGTTGGGTTTGTCTCGTCCCGCGACTACTGTGCGCCCCCTTAGCCACACCAGTTCAAGCACCAAACTTCCATGCGTGATCTTCCTCAAGGCTGTCAGAAAAACAAGGAGGTTGTACCGCTGCAATGTTGCGAGTTCTACGATGACTGCTGGATGACCCCTGCGGAGAGAAACATTGGCCCAGGCATGCAACACCAAAAGCAACTCCCTTGACACCGAGTTCGACCAAGCACATGAGATCACCATCCACTTCAAACTCCTGATTAGAGCACCTGAGACCACCCTCCAGTTCTGCTTAAAAGCTCCTGAAGAGTTTAAGAGCATCCTCTGGAGAATCCAAATGTTCCGGAACCCAACAACCACACTGCCAGCAACACCGATTTCTCGGTCGCCTTTTCAAGCAAGATCTCATCCCTGGAGGCCAAGCCTCGGCCAGGGAGGTGGTATACCGTTGTGCCTATATGGCTGGGTCATGGTCCCCATATCCTGCTATGCTTCTGTATCTTCTTGATTGGCCAAACACCACAAAGCTTGAATGGCCCATGAATTATCCCAATCTGTTAGAATGGACATCATCTTCGAGTTTGTCTTCTCCCATCTTGCAAACACTGACTTCCCATCTTGAGCCATTAATAGCCGCCCAGCCTTAGCGATTGACCACCTCCAGGTTTCTCAAGCCACCAAAGAACCCGAACTGCCGTCCCCGCATCCTCCATGCTTTGAGGATGTCCCCCCATGACTTTCGCTGAGCGCCCTACACTGCACTAAGGCCTCACGGGGCTGCACGGATTGCGAAACCCAGGTTGCGCGGCGCGCCAGCAACGCGCATCGAGGGAGGGGCAATCAGGCGATGCGGGTTTCGCACTGGATGGAAATTGTATAGAAATCCGTGGCTCCCGCTGCTTCATACTCCTGGAAGGGCCCAAATGCATAGAACCAATCACAATCACCATCCCGACGTCGGGTTCTTGGAGTTGATCAACCTGACGTCGGGTACGTGGAGTTCTTCAAACTGGCTGTTGCCTGGTTGCTTCTTTCGATGGTGGAATCAGTGGAATCTGTATCATTCTCCAAAAGTTTGTGCCCAAATACAATATGTAAAAAATTTGAATATGGTTGAATCATCATCTTAGTATAATCATGATCCGACTTGTTTCATTAAAAGACTTCAGGTCCTTACAGCTCTTTTGGTGCCCTACAAACCAATGATCGACCTCCAAACGCCCGTGAAAACACCTCCCCCCGGCAGGCACCGGCAGGCACTGGCTCTCGGCCCAGTCGGCCATGGCTTCTGCGCAGGTCTCCTGGCGACCGAAAGACTGAAATCATTGGATACATTCAACTAAAAGGATCTATATCAGGCACCTAGTGAACAAAAAGTAAACAACATCTAAAAAAGCACCACGATTTCAATATTCTAAGCGTTATAAGGAACCAAATGAAACTCACTAGAAGGGCTCCATGCAAAACGGGACACACCAGAAACCGCACCCAATTTTTGGCCGCTTTGGCCCTTGATGTTGAGTCATAAATGCTGTCATGTGGTTGGAGTTGTCCGAATTCCAAGAGCAAGCGTGGCATCTATTCAATACCAGACCATCATTGAGGTGGTTATATATTGGGTATGATGCATCATTCATTAACGCCCCCAATGCTGCTCCACATGGTGGCCCGGGCTCTGAGAAAAAAAAAAAAACAAAAACTGCACCAAGAGACCAAAGAAAGATGTCCCACCAGATCTGGGCTATTGACAATCATTGTTTGGGAAAACAAAAGCACCTTGAAGATCCCATGATGTCCCATGTGTGCTTGAACCCTACGCCACCGACTGGCTCAGCGCTCCGGGTCTCTGAGCCCCAAACGAGCTGGGGTGGCCCCTGGTGTCTCCCGCCATATCGATCTACAACTCCGATGTCTACCTGCCCAAGAACTTGCACCTCTTCCCCTAGGGATCCAAGTACCTTCTCAGAAGGTACTTGGACCCTCAAAACCTACATAAGAGTGTCTCCAATCACATTCTGAGAAGGTACTTCCCTAGGGTTCTTGTTAAAGGCACATCAAAAGAGATGATCGAAATCGTTCACCTCCCTAAAACGGTGCGTGAGGCGGTGGAGAGCTCTGTCGGGCCTCTTCTGCCAAGCTGGCAAAGGTCATCGCGGCGACCTGATGCCAGGCGTCCAGATGCGCTTGGCCCTGTTTGGGGGGGGGGTCTCTTACAGTGGTGTCAGAGGTCGCAATTCTACAGTGGTTTCAGGGTAGATGGCACGGTGGCACGGGGGCCCCCAAGATGTGTTTTATTTAAGGGTCCAAATTGGGGATTGTGTCATCTACTCTGAAACCATTGCAACAGCCTAATGGCTCCTTCGAGGTGACTCGGGGTGTCTCTTACCCATCCGCTGACCCCGGTGGAGGTGGGTCATGAGGTGGGTTATAAGACATCAGCTTGGAACGCCGGAGAATTCTGGGAGGTGTTCTTCAAGAACCATGATCGGCGCATTCCCTAGGGTTCCACGCACCCTCTGAGATGGTGGGACTGGGGTGGGTGCCAGGAGGGTCCTCTACAAGACACACACACACAAACATCACCATGCAACAATAAGCATCATCATCTAGAGTTTCAATGGAATGGGATATATTTCACGAATCCACCCTCTATTTGAACCTGATATTACCATATATATATACACAGTATATCACCGTTACTATCCCCGGCTTCCAGGTATATTGTATATCCAGGTCCAGCATATCCAGGTACCACCCCCACCAAGTTCCTTGCGGCCAATTCCCCCACGTGTCCTTGTCTCTTTTTGGGGTGTGGCAACTCAAAGCGACTGGACATCCTTAGAGCGTCTCACCCGACGAAGCCTTTCTCGAGCGCCGCACCTGCCTGATTGAGGGGAGAAGATGCACTCAGTAAGTTGCTGAGGAGACGAAGGCCTCCCTTCCTGAGCGATCAGGGCGCTGAACATATCTGAAAATGTGTTTGAATACATAGACAGATCACCGACCATATTTCCATTCTTTCAACAGGTCTTGGGATGTCTCCCTGATTCTCCCTGTTTTACACCCGCGTGGTCTTTGTATGATTTTGTATGTCTATCTCATAGACTTTCTCATGGATTCTTCTCAAAGCAGCCCATTAAAATAAGTTTATGTAGATTCAAAGCCCATGCCTATTCTCAACCGACCAATTGATCTACCACTTTTAAAACGAACAACATTGAGAATGAGAGACCCTCCATGGGCCCATCCGCATTCATCCGTGCTTTGTGTACCCTCAACAGAAGACCCAATCGTCCTGCAATTAGCAGTCAGGTCCACAACCAAATCTGGGGCTCATCACTACTGTAGGAACACAAAGCATATTTTGAGCCGTTTGTGAACCCTACCGCACAGGTCTCTTTGCATTACAATTACAAGTGCTGAGACCAAGAAAACATAAAACATCTTCCTGAAACCCACAAATTCCTCAAAATGCCAAGCATGGCAGATGTCTGCTGTTGCTTCTCTGAGGTCCCAAAGACTATCTGACCCATCTGCACGACCCTAATGCCCAGACACTGGCACACTGCCACCTCGTGGCATGCGGAGTGGGGCGAACTTCCAGCGATTCATTCAGTTCTGGGGAGGAGGCCAAACCTACCACTTGGTTCTACCTTCCCACATCCATGTATCCCGACAAATCCTACGACCTTCAGTGCTTCAAGTGTTTCAAGTTACCATCGCCTTGTTTCGGTGATGAACCCTCATGTTGTTCGACAGAAAGAGCCTGAGACCTGTGCATTTCGATCGAAGTCCAAGACTTGGGACCGCTCTTGCCGTCCCACATGCCGTCTCGAGAGAGCACATGCCACATCTCTGAGTTGAAACCGACATGGAAAGCAGTTGAACACGTGCTTTTTCCCGAGAAGTCATGGGCTTGCGGTGTACTTTCGATTGAAATCATCCATGGTTCTCGGTGAGTGAAAAGCACCTGGTCTTCACCTGGGTCTTCGGATGTCATGGGATCCTCCGACCAGGCGTGTGGCACGTTCCATTCACGTATATAACTTAACCATATATAATATAGATGGATTGAAAGTGGTGAATGTATACATTGAATACATACAATCATAATACCACTACGCTACCATATGCTGAAAACACGCTGAAAACACTACCATTTAATGTATACAATGAATACCAATACATTTCACTGGGCACTTGGTATTGTCCAATGCTTCCCGGGCTGTGGGAGTCCAGCCATCCTGAGGTGAAGATCAGGTCTGGTCGCCCCTGCCGTGTTGCAATGGCCAACTTGGATTTGTTTAGTGAAGCAACCGGGAAAAAAAATTGTTACCAGCAGGGGATTCAACCCCATAGGTTTTCTTTATACACTTCAGCCAAACCAAGCCAACTGGTCGTTTTTCTGGCTTAGAACCCCTCTTCCTTCTGAGCCCGTCTTCTCTCCATACAGCCCCAAAACCGTGCCTTAAAACCCTCCATATGAGGGTCCATGTGCATCTGGGAGGGTCGTGTTCGTTGGGTCTGCCTTAACTTCACATCTCTTGGGATGGGTTCTGTCTGTTTAAGACACGACCATTGCTTCGGTGCCTTTTTTATTTGGTCCGGTCCAAGCGTCTCGATGGGTGATCGGGTCGATCCGCACACGGGGGTGTCGACCTTCACCGACCCCGCCGTTGAACACAACACGGCGGCCGTTTCCGTAAGCGCCTTGCAAGCGCGGTGAGCACACAGGTTGAACAAGGCCTGACCAGGCAGGACTTGGAAGACTTCGAGCGATTCTTCCAGCTTTGGAGGTTGTTTGGTTGGCATGTTCCCAGTGACCAATGCTAGTTGACCAAGTCAAAGAATCTAACTAACACCTGGTACCACGACAACTGGTACCTAGGTTAGAGAAGAAGCGGAAGTGGTTGCAACTGGTACCACGACGTCGTTCGGTCTGGAGGGGTTGATGGTATCACATCTCTGAAAGCGCACCGTTTGCAAGGCAAACTTTGTGTTCTTTTTGTTGGCTTCATTGAGCAACCAAAAACACACATACCAGGACCCTCGACTGGTCTTCTGTTGATAGGCCCTTAGATGTTAAGGAGTGTCCATAATCACCCCTGGTGGGTCCTGATACTAGGGGGTGGCACGCATAAGTATAATATGCAATTGTAATCTTTCCTTCCAAGACTGAACCGCTACAGTTGTCACCCCGGCCCGCATCCCTGCAAGGCAGTGAATCGAAACATGTGAAATAGACCTCATGAAACACACAATACACCAGGAGTCACTTTGGTATACACAAAAACCATATTTAGATATTATATACAGTATAATATATTCCGTCACTTCCGCGATGTGTCAATGACCTCATTATCTCTAGATGGTGCTGCCCTGCCCTTGCGGATCGTTTCTGGTCTCGTCGATTGGTTTCGTCGATTGGTCTCCAATGGCTCAACCAAGTGGCCGCAACCGCGCCCACACTGGGCCTGGGTGGTTGGGGGGGGACAGAGGTGAAGGTCTCCTGTGATTTGGGCATGGCGAAGAACAGAAGTACTTGGGAATCGTTTCACCTGTACTAACAAGAATATTTTTAGTATGTCTTTGATCGCTACTAGTAACCAGAAGCTACTAGATTGGAGGCCATCGCTACTAGGGTGGAGGCCATCGCTAGTAGGTTGGAGACCATTGCCATTACTAGTAGTAACAAGAAGCTACTGGGTTGGAGGCCATCGCTACCTGGAACTAACACGAATGTGGAAAACCCCCTGGTCTTCCTTACGGAGCTGTGCCATCCACTTCGTTAGTTCCAGGGAGTGTAGCTTCAGCCTGCGGGGACACCAAACCTAATAGAGTCCTAATAGCCTCCTTGCTACTTGTAGCGATGCCCTAGCTACTAGTAGCTTCTTGTTCCTAGTAGGAATGCCAGGAGCTACTACTAGTTTCTTGCTACTAGTTCCTGAAAACCAGTGGGCATTGGAGTCCCCTCTTCTGGTGCCATCAGGATATGACATATTCCTTCCAATAAAAATTCGACGTTGAGAGGATGAGGAGTTGCTGCAGCAATAAGCTCTCTGGGTGTCTGCTGCTTCTGAGGATAACCCAATCTCCAAATAAGTATTTAAGCATCCTTTAAGCACATATACAATAGTACTTTACACACACACACACTTATCACACCAAACAAATGCAACCCTGGATCATCTTCCCATATCTTCCCCACTCCGACCCCTGATCCGAACATCTCCGACCCCCCATTCGCCCCCTTCGCTCTCCCAAACTCCGCACCGAGTCGCGAGGGATGCTCCGAGTCGATGAACTTCAGCAACTGGATGACGGCTCCAAGATCATAGAGCCGATTCCTCGCACCGGACGTCTCGATGCACAGCCGTCTCGATGCTAATGATTGGTGGAGGTTCTCCATGTCTGGGGCGACGTGTATGACAGGGTTCACTAAGTGGTCACAAGTTCGCATTGAAATCTTAAGCACCCAACTGTATCTGAAGAACGAGTTTGCTGCTTTACGTGCGCGGGCCTTCAAAGTATACATGCAAAACCTCATTGGCCCCAATAAATCTGATCAGCATCCTTCAGTCAAGTACTTCAACCCCAGGAAAAAGAACAAAACCACCCCATCAGCGGAAAAATAGACAAAACACTACCGGAAATGGTGGCTGCCAGTATTTGTCAAATCATATCTGCAGTATCGCGCAACCTAGACAGTCCCTAGCCCGTTTGCTCTGAGGTTCCCGAAGTCCAGAAGTATATACCATGGTGACTACATGTCACTACCATGGCATTTTACAGTGGGTTGGGGGACTGGAGTAGATCTTGTGCGGTGGATGTGGTATTTGTGCATGTCCCCATGTCCCACGTCCATCGTCCATTCTCTTCCACCGGTCTTAGAAAGCCTTGACAGCCTTGGCAGCCTGTTCATGTTCTCTTGTACATGTCCAAACCATGTATGGAATAGCTACATAATGTTACATTATAGAGTTATCCCATTTAAGACCCTAATCTAAGTAACTATTCCATACTTGGAGTGTGGCCGGCATGAGCCATTTGCCCCAAAGAGTCAGCATCATTCTTCAGAGTCAGCATCCGCGGAGGTTTTTGAGGCTCGTCGGTAGGTACAAAAAAGAGCTAAGAATGGATCAGAATCAGATGGACTTCCCGGAAGTCGTCATCGCCCCACATGGGTGGCAGGCGTTTTTGGGGCATCTCAACCAATCAGCCAATCTCATTTGGTCGAACCTCGATGACTGCTCCCCACACAGAAACACACCTAGCGTTTCCAATGAAGACCTACAAGTGTAGAGTTGTCCAGCCAACCACGAACGGAAGCAGCAACAAAAATAGTCCACAAGAAAGAAATGTTGGAATTTGCAGTCGACGAGACGAACAAGTCTCTCCCAGCTTTTTCTGTCCTGTAGACCTCCTGTAACGCAAAGTGGCCCAAACACTCTGCAGCCTGCGCCAGTGCTCTGACATTGTATGACCGTGTCCAGACAGAGACACCACTTCTTCCAACAAATCGGATAAATCAAAAACGGAATCTCGAGAGTTTTGTGGTTCAAAATCCATGAAATGCATTATTATGCCAGGACCATCCAATGGGTGTTCAATGGACCACCTTACACTACTAGGAGATCTCCATTGGCACCCAAACAGGATGGTCCAGGTAGTTATATAGTTATGTTATGTTTAGTCGAATACATTGAATCTGGAAGACCAGGATTTTCCCCTGACACGGCCTGACGCGGCCTTGAGGCAACCCCCCACAGCATCCCAACGCCTGTAAAATGCTTCAGAGACCTAGTTACAGTTGTTCTCCTGACTTGATCTTCACCTATCCATCAACGCCTCCTGCACCAATCCCATCCATCCAACAGGACTCCGGCCACCAGCTATGTTTTGGGAAATCATCACCATGGAGATGTTCCATGTGTTCTTTACTTCACAAAGTCATTCCCTGCGGTTCCCTGCGGTTCCTATCCCCGCAGGCCTATCCCCGGACCGCGTCCGGTCCGAAAGACCTGAAGTTCGGACCAGTCAACACACGTTTGCTCTTCCAGGGTTTGCTCTGGTATCATGTGTTCATGTGTTATTGAATATTTTATATGAATTTTATGTTTAATCATGTTTAGTCTCAGTTTTTCTAGCAGGAAATTGCGCCAACATTCGCAAATGGAGCTATGCATGATGATGGACGTTGCGTCTTTGATCAACTGGGTATACCAGCTTCCGTCAAGGTTGTCCCTTTGCATTGGCTGGTACTCAGGGATTTTGCACAACTCTGGTTTCATCAATGGAGGGCAATGGTTGCCAATGGTCGTAAATGTCCAAGCACTTTCTTTCCATGCATGTGTGTGTGTGGGAATTGGCTCTGAACTTCTGTGATTTCACACATTTTTCACCTTTCTGAGAATGCATTTCGACATGCATGGCATTGGCCTGGCATTGGCCTTCGATGGGTCCTACGTACTGTATTCCGAATCCGGTCCAACATGGTGCAAACACATCGGGTCCACCCCAGGCGTCGCAGCACATCTCTTTAACACACCCTGTCCCTCCGATCGTGTCCCACCACGGCAGTTCTCGCTCCGATGCCGAGCGAGACGTCTCGTGCGCACGGCAGGGTTAGAGCCGGATTCGGAAACTAATCGGTCGGATTCTGAAACTAGGGTTCTGAAACTGGGGTTCTGAAACTAGGGTTCTGAAACTTGGATTCTGAAACTGGTATTCTGAAACTGGTGTTCTGAAACTAGGATTCTGAAACTGGGGTTCTGAAACTAGGATTCTGAAACTGGGATTCTGAAACTTGTATTCTGAAACTGGAAAGTCAGATTCTGCAACTGGTATTCTGAAACTGGAAAGTCAGATTCTGCCACTGGTATTCTGAAACTGGAAGGTCAGATTCTGCAACTTGCCTTCTGAAACTTGCAACTGGTGATCTCCACATCATGCGATAGCGTGTGTGACTGTGACATCACCTTCGAAGCACATCCAAACCAACGTCATTAGCCCCCCACCCAACACCCCCACCCCCAACCCCCCCTTGTCCCCATCGTGTGATTTCGACATCCCTCATCATTCACAAAGTTGCGGAATCCTAGTGAGGGAGTCCACAATGTTGCGGAATCCTAGTTGCGGAACGCCAGTTGCGGAATCCCAGTTGCAGAATCCTAGTTGCGGAATCTTGACAGTTGCGGAATCCTAGTTTCGGAATCCTAGTTGCGGAATCCTAGTTGCGGAATTCTAGTTGCGGAATCCTAGTTGCGGAATCCTAGTTTCGGAATCCCAGTTGCGGAATCCCAGTTGCGGAATCCGACCAAACAGTTGTGGAATCCTAGTTGCGGAATCCTGCGCAGTTGCGGAACTCGACTTTATCCCGCGCGGCAGGTCGGGGCGCGAGACAGTCCGCCTTCACCGTCTCCAGGCGCTGCACCAGGAGCTCCAAGGCGCCGAGCTGCGCCATCTCCGCCTTCTCCGAGGTGAAGGGCCCGCGCGAGTGGGGGGGGGTGAGCAAGGAAGCGGAGGGAGGGTGACTGCACTGTGACCCAAGTGTTTTTGGCGATTTCGGGGGGTGAGAACCATGAACCTGAACTGGCGGAGTGCTCGGTGGATGGCTCGATGGCTCGGCAAAGGTGGGATTGCTCTTGGACATCGTTTTTGGCCCTTATGTTCACACTCAAATGGAAAGGGTTTGTTGCGGCAAGAAGGGTACAAACCCCTGCGTTTCACTGTTGCGTCCAAGGGTTCTGGAGGGGAAGCAAGTGTTCAATCCGGTGGCTGTGTCTTCCTAGTCTGGTAGATTGGTGATTGGTGGTGCTTTGTTCATGCAGAAAAGATCCACTCACGTCAAGTGCTTGGTGTGTCATGAACTCTTCACTCCGTGGTCTCTGTTGAGCTTACACGATCCGCTTGCTGTTGTATCCATGTGGATTGCCCAAGTGGTCAGTCTGCGCCAGTTAAGATCCAACACAATTGACATATGGAAGTTGAACTGCCAGTTTTTGTCTTCTAACAAAACCTTCTCAAATGGAACATCGAGAAGCCCCCAATGGTTTCTAAAAAGAAGAAGGCAACCTTTTGGGGCAACTTGCGACTGAAAAGCAGCTCAAAGCTAGAGAATCAGGGAATGCAGCTCTTGTAGGTGTTGGCCTTGGTTGTACAGCCACACACACTCACACACCCTGGAGTTAAAACCCCTTACTGTAAACCAAGTGAGAATCACGGCCACTGCAAAATCCACACCAACTGCAATCCTCAGTCGTTGGGGCAACCAATCCTCTCATGTTGGGAAGTTCCCCCACTTGAAGACACCTTCAACTTATGAGTCACCCATGTTTTGCAGACGACAAGACGTCTCATCTCAAATCCCCTTAGACGGGTGAACATGTCATGCACCACCAAGCTCGGACCTTGAGTCCATATATGGGACCCTAGGGATCCGTACCTTCTCCTCAGGTACGGTGATGTGTTCGACACTGTTCTGTAGGTGCCAGTTTCGGATCCAGTCGTACCGAACCTGAGAAGGTGATTGGATTCCTAGCGGGAGAAAAAACACATCTATCTTGACTTGTCTTCATCCATCTACCCAAATTCCGCCTGACAGGCTTCATCCACGCTAAGGCTCTTCAGGGCAGCAAGCACGGCTGGCAAGGCACCTGGTGAACTGACTTCAACCAAATACACCTTTCTGTCAACACCACCTTTTGGGTCCATGATAACCCCTTCCAGTGTCCTCTTCGTAGGAAAGGGAAAACAGGTGAAACCCCTGAGCACAGCAGGCCGGGTAGACGGTCCCAACATGATCCGAGGGTCCCTCAGGGTGTACACCTCAAGGGATATACTCCCTGGAACTAACATGGAAGTGGCGAATGGCCCCCTTGGAAGACCGTGAAATCCACTACCAACAGGTGGTGCCATTGACGTAACCATGTGAGTTCCAGGCAGAGTAGCTCCGTGACATCATGGAAGTGGACCATCGGACCATGTTCATTCGGAGACCATGTTCACAAGACCATGTCCTTGTTTTCCAACCATGATCTCCTGTTTCATAGGGACAATTTCCTTGGTTTCCTTGTTTCAGAAGAGATGTTTTCACTCCAAACTCCAAACCACGATGATTTCCAGGAGTGTCCCCAAAACAACGAAAAGCAACGAGATCGGTCGCGGCACCGTCGGGTAGCGAAGAAGGCGCCAGCCGTGCCAGGGCAGCCACCAGGGCCTTGACAGCCCCACAGCGGCGGAAGACCTGGAGAAAGAAGTGGGATTCCTGGGGAGGGTCTGATTCAGTAAAAGGAGCTTTTCGTGAGGAAAGGTAAGGGCAGTGGAATTCACCCCGGACCTCGCCATGTTCGGGCGATTGAGGCCTCCCATGTACAAGAACCATCTCCATGGTTCCGCACGGCGGACGCCCGACCGGTTTGTATTGGAAGCGTCTCTGTAGGTCGACGGCGCTTGCGCGAAACAGATCGATCGAATGCACAGGGATCGTGAGGGCCCCGAACTGAAGGATCTCATCATGATATAATACGTGTATATATATATATATATGAGGGACGCTGTTTATTTGTTATGTGGGCCTTGCACATTTCAATTTGGTGAGTGTATTATCGTTTTCCACGTTTTGAACCTTACTTATGTTAAAGGTTGTTTTCACAATGCGGCAGACTTTTTGGACATGGAAGCAGGCGTGCGACGGTAAGGTCATGGGTATCGCCTTCAATGGTGGCATCGCTACACACAGCACTAGCATTTTTTTGACTTGTCGCCTCTTGATGGGAGCAGTAGTAGCAATAGCAGTTAGCAGTAGCACTAGCAATAACAATAGTAGCCGTGGTAGTAGTAGTCAACGTCGTCGTAGTCGTAGTATAGTGGTGGTGGTGGTGGTAGTAGTAGTAGTAGTAATAGTAGTAGTAGTAGTAGTGGTAGTGGTAGTGGTAGTGGTGGTAGCAGTAGTAGGACTTACTAGTAGCACCAGTAGTACTAGTGGCAGTAGTAGTGGTAGTAGGAGTAGAAGTGGTACTAGTAGTACTAGTAGTAGCAGCAGTAGTGGTAGTGTCATTAGGCGCAGCAGCAGTGGCAGTGGCAGTCGCAGTGGCGGCAGCAGCAGCAGGAGGAGGAGGAGGAGCAGTTCTAAGCAGTAGTAGTCGTCGTCGTCGTGGTTGTGGTTGTGGCTGCTTGCTCCGTGTGCACGGGGCTAATAGAGCAAGCAGACATGGGCCTAAATTTCAATAGGTTACCCATCTTTCTGAAGCCTGATCCTAGACCCCAAAGCCCAAACCCCAACTTCTGCTGGCTCCGTGCGCACGGGGGCTAATAGAGCAAGCAGACATGGGCCTAAACTTCAATAGGATACCCGTCTTTCTGAAGCCTGATCCTGGACCCCAAAACCCAACTTCTGCTTGCTCCGTGCGCACGAGGCTAATGGAGCAAGCCCAAATGCTTATAGCTTCCAAGAGGCGTTTTCAAGTATTCACGTTCATCTTCCTCCTTCTTCTGTACCAACCTACGAACTTCACGCAATAGATTCTTCTGGGTTGGCCGAGGCCCTGGTTCCAAAGCTCGCACCTGGCTTGCGTCTTGGCACACGGACTGCCCAAGTACCCACAGCGCAGAAAGTCGTACTCCGTAGGAGAGGCCCTGGGAGAAATGGAAGGCGTTGGGATCCCGAAGAAGAAAGGCCACAGTGGTCAGCCTGATTGGCAAGGCGCAATTTAAATACTGCCCTGCCACCACAAACCTCAGATAGCCCCCAGCTCCTGTCCCACGGATGTTTCTGTTGGTGACAAGGCCGAGCAGATCTCTCTCTCAGCATTTTGCGGGCAATCGTGATGCCCAAGATCATGCCTTCAACGTTTTCCAAAATGCAGGACCCCCAGCAATAAGCAGCCCAAGGGGCAAGGGCAAACACCCACAAGCCACAAATCCCATGACTGTGAATGGACGGCGCTAAGCCCTGTTGCAGAATTTGCTTCAAAAGAGCCGGCCGCGACGCATGATAGAGTGTAATTTCAGAATCATCCACTGCACTGCCATCCTGGTACAAACCTTCTTTGCTGGATGTAATGGGGAAGACTGCAGCCGTGCCATGAGGCATCCGACGCCAGTCTCTCGAGTTCGCCTCTATCCACTCAAACAACGGCTCGCCCGTTAACTCTCCCTCACTCTTCTCCGGACATGCATAATTGTAGACGTGCTCCAGCCTTTGATCTGCCCACTGGATGCTATACAGTGGTTTGTTCTTCTCTGTGCCCTGCTGTCTATTCAAAGCCGTCTTTGTTGACCCCAGACACCTGTCCACATCTTACTGTGTTGGACGCCAATCCCGGCTGGGTGGTGGTTGTGGTGGTGGTAGTAGTAGTAGCAGTAGTAGTATAGTAGTGGCAGTAGTAGTAGTCGTAGTAGTAGAAGTAGAAATAGTAGTAGTAGAAGTAGAAGTAGTAGTAGTAGAAGTAGAAGCAGTAGTAGTCGTAGTAGTAGTAGTTGTTGTTGTGGTAGTAGTAGTAGACCAGCCATGTCTTGAGCCTGTTTGGAAGATAAGTTTCAGATACAAGTGGGGCACTGGTTTCGTAGCACAGGTTCGTCTACATTTACGTTATCGTTTGGTTATCGTTTAGGTTATCGTTTGACTACAGCTACATTTCGGGCAAACCTGTCGCCAAAGTCCGAAGTCAAAAACGGCTTTGGGAAAGGCTACACTAAGCAGAAACGAGGTTCCCTGATGGTCTTCATGGTTAGAACGCTGTACTGCAGCTATGCAAACTAAGCTTTTCATGATGCTATCAATATCTTATCGTTTTTTTGATGAGTGTATTCTCGTTTTCCAAGTAACATGCCAATTCTGCAATCCCAATGTCGGGTCCTTTACTAAATAGCTTTCCGTAAATAAATCAGGTTGCTCATATAATAATGCCCAATCATCACTAGGAGATACTAGGAGCGATCGGGCGCTACGAACGGGGCTCCTGGCATCGCTACGAACGGAGCAAGAAGCTACCAGTAGCTCCTGGCCTTACTACTAGTAACAAGGACGCTACTATATCATTCGTATCGTCGGGCGAGTTGGGGGTGGTGTTGCAGGGGAGATCTGCCTTTGATCCCTCCAAACAAAAGCTTCAGGACATCGGAGAATATCGTGTCCATTGGACACGCAGCAACCCAAAAGGAACCGCCACGGACCGTGTGAGCCATCCCCAAGACATCCCATCTGGAGAATCTTGCAACAAGACTCACGACATGTGATCTCTCCTTGAGCTGGGTAACTAACATGACACATTCGATTGAGAGTAGATGGCACAGACCACAATATCGGTGGTTTATATGAACCCCCATGTAAAGGACATCTTGAGGGAAACGTGCCATCTACTCTGAAACCACTGTGATTAAGATGTGTTCAATGATGTGTCTTCCAGCTCCTTTCAAGCCTAAACAAGTGTTCTCTACAACTCCGTGCAGAATAGTCCTGAGTCCTGGGTAGGTCAAATCACCAAGCACCAATGTCTGCGTGTGTCAGGCTGGTCCACCCCCCCCCCCATCGCGATCGCCCCGCTGGACAGGCTGGACTGGTCTATGTCCCGAACTGAAACCATGGGCGTCGTTGCCACGAAAAGGGGGGTCGGAACACCTGGGAGGTCGAGTCTACACACCCCTCTCCGGAGCTCCGCCGGGTGCTTCGGAACGCGCGGAGACGCTGAAGGGCACCTCTCTGCTTCTCGCATCCACTGCCATGGCCTCCACACACAAGGCGCCAGAGCTGAGCCTGAAGAGAACGAGGTCACATACAGCTGAAGGTTTCAAATCTGGAGTTGGTGGCGGGTCAAAACCTGGAGCCGTTTACTAACGGTAGGTTGACCTCCCTAATAGTCTATTGTGTCATGTCTTGTGCATCCTATGTTGGGTATATCACGGAAACATATCCTATTACATCCTATTGCCAGTAACTGTGGATGATCATGGTCAGTAAAAGGGCCTTGTTCATCCTTGATCTAAAATCATAGTGATAGCCTGTCCAAGACTGGACAGACCCCAATCATATGGGTGTGTCTTTAAAATAGGGAGGCTTCCAGCCAGGTGATCTGGGGGGTCTCCCTATCCATTACATCCTGCATCTTTGTGCTCACTGGTTGCTGATACATGATGTTGTATTTGTGATATTTCATCCTGCAAGCTTGAGATAATAATGATCAAGATCAAACATCCTGTGATCGACAAACATTTGTGATCTGATGTGCCAGGTGGCGGTTGCTGGTGCATTCTACATCCCAATCTGAATCCAGCAATCAAACTTGTTGGATTTGAGGTGGACCTTCGAATGTTCGAATAAGTGGACAGTGGATGATGTCAGCTAAGACATGAATTCTGGGTCAAATTCGTTGCACCCTCAGGGAGGTCTAGGCACGGTATTGGACAGAATAAATATGTGAACCAAAGGCAGTAAAATGACACGTGAATCGTTAAGATCACCGAAGTCGTGAGAACCCCAGCTAAATCTCCTGGTTGTTGGATCAGAACTCTTGGTGCTCCATCGATTCTATCTCAGTGATATCTATCTGCTGATCCGTTAATCCAATGGTTTCAGGTTCTTTCAGCTGAGCTGCAGCGCTGGTGAGGATTGGAGCAGGACTTGCACCACCTGAAGGTGGTTTTCGTGGCTCTTCAAAAAGCAAAAGGCCGCCCAAATGAACCAAGTGAAGTGGTGAAAATGTGTAAAAAAATCATTGACACCAGGGCCAGAACCAAAGCAGTGTTCTCGTGTTCTTTCCTATTGATCACGGTTCAAACGATCGGACATCTAGTGTTCTTACAGTTTTTTGGAATACTTATATTAATTAGACATGAACAAACAACATCTATAAATGACCTATAGCATCCAACAGCAAGTTAGCTAATTTCGAGGTGCATTGGCTAGAAAACAAGTAGGATGTCAGTTGAATGATGAACATCAGGCCGGAAAATTCCTTTCTGGTGGCGGATGCGTAGGCTGAGGTCGTCTGAGGTCGGCAAATTGGTTTGTTTCTGATGCTTCTTGCCTTTGCTTATCAGAGCCATCAGGCAGGCTGTCATCCATCATATCAGATGCCAAGATCCGATTCCAGATGTCTAAGTGTTGGAATGACGGAGAGAGGATCACGTTTCCGTATCGATGGCAGGGAGTTTCAGCCTGCAGCTGCGCTCCTTCACAAGCTGCTGGATCTCTGGCACTGATGGCGGCTAAGCAGCCCAGAGCAGCTGCTTGAAGCTCCGACTGAGGCGAATAAAAGCGTGAGGACGAGTCGGGGGCATCGGGAAAGCTCCGCTCACAAAAGTAAACGCTACCCAGAGGCTCATGGACCCGAACCAGCTGCTATACATGTTTGAGGTCCAAAACCCTGGCTGTGAGGGTCAAAACCTTAGCTATGAGGGTCCAATGAGCCTTTAAATAACATACATTCCCTATCCAGTCGTACCTTCTCAGGTACGGTGATGTGTTCGTCCAAGCACCTTCTGAGAAGGTGATTGGATCCCTATAGGGATTGGCAATCAAACAAAAAACATCCCGAGAATCAATGGATGACATGACTCAGCCCATGAATCATGGCCGCGAAATCGCATCCCATGGCGCCTTGAGCCCGCGCCCCAAACCAGCCCCAAACGGCCCAAAGCCAAAATGTAAAACGTCACCGCCAGTGCCGTGTCGCCGGTGTCGCGTCCGCGGCCGGGCAGACCGCCCACCTCCGGATCTTCCAGTATCGCAAGGACCTCGGCCACTCGGGCGGCGAACTCTGCGTGCTCCACCTGGCGACCATCGTCGTTGCGTCGGCGACTGGTTTGCCACGCACGTGGGGTGGTTGAGGATGGTTCTGGTTCTGGAGAAGAAGGCTGGTTGCAAGGCAAGGTGAGGTGATTTTGAGCACAAAGGCACCACACCTTGCAAAGAAAGAAACCTAGTGACTTTGGGCATGATGGTCGAATTCATCTGCTCACCCCCAAAGAATCCTATTATATACTATGCTATGTTTTTTTTCCCGAGAAGCCAACGACAACAGTGTCCACGTCGTATGTGTATTGTGTACTATGATCTTACATATCACATCATGAACGTCTGCATGTCAATCCGCAATTGACCAAACACATTGGATGTCTGACTACAGTAATCCTCGAGAAAACAGCCTGGGAGGTGGCTTAGTCTGAATCTGGTGGTTTCCACTTGCTACGTATCAGTTCGACCTGTGCTATGGCGAACGCGACAAGAGCCACCACAAAATACTATTCTGCACCACCATTGAGGTAGGTAGCTCCCAATCAACGATAGAAAGCAACAATAGTAGCAGGGCAATGCAGGCCATGTATAATTACTAATTAAGTCTCACGATAGATGCCAAAAAAACACAAACCAACCAACCAACGAACAACAGCAACCCTAAAAGAAACCAGCTATACCGGGACCAGACCGGAAAAAGATTTAAAACAAACCTATCCAACGTAAATCACTCCAAGCTACGCCGGTCCTGGCATCCGTCCCTTTCTCGATCCGCGATCCGGTCCTCGCCTCATCCGCAGCGATGCGCCGCCACAGCTCCAAGAGCTGCGCCATCGCATCGCGGGACGAGGACCGGACGGACGTGGAGGCGAAGAGGGAGCGCAAGAGCGTAAGACGCGACGCTGAAGTCAGTCGCACACGCGGTTTTCCATGCGGGGTGTGTGTATAGTGCTTATAATGTATATATGTCTGTGTTGTTGTTTGGTTTGGTTCAAACGCACCTGATTATGCCTGATTCGGTGTGTGGGTTTACCGCCAAAAAAGCGCGTTTGGACGAAGTGACCGTCGCTCCTCTTGGGCGCTGTCCTTCGGCCATTTCACAGACCTGGACCCGATACCTGATACCTGATCACGGGGAGACCAATCGGACAAATGCATTTAAAACGACCTTTGCCATCCACAATCAGTCAGACTAGCACACACACGGCATACAACCACAAAAATCACCATGGGTTTGTAGAGGGCAGTTTTGGCCTCTTAAGCGTCAAAGTTCGATGGTGCCAAACACTCCTTGACATGAGCCTCCCCTTCACTATCTCATTAGCACATAGCTGTACTACTACAAACAGCTCCGACGTGGGGCGCCTTGGGGCGTGTCTCTTCTGCCTCATGAAGCCATCTACTCGGGCCAAATGGCTAGATCCTTCACAGCATGCGCCCCTGCGCAGACACTGCCACATCCGTGCTGAAGATATCGGTGGTGAGAGAGATTGATCTCCGGTGATGTTTGGTTTCTCAGTATCAAAATTGTTCACAAGGTACACGAGGAATACTTTGTCCTGTCCCCCGCAGAAGTACTATGGATAGTGGAACAGAGGCTCAAACTTCCAAAACTGTCCACACTATAGAATGGTCTTCAGCATGCGGAGGAGAGCTCCTTAGGCGGAGGGCAGCAAGAAACAATACTCAATACCGGCCCTTGCCCACACCTAAACCTACGACGATGATGTATGCTTGCAACTCTGCTATCGGCTATTCCTTTTTGTTGCGCTTGCTCGCCGCAAGCTTCTGCGCTCCACCCTGTGACTAGCATGCGCTTGCTCGCAGCATGCAGCTTCGCACCACGCACACGACAGGTTTTGGAGCCGCTGCAGGTTTTGGAGCGAAAAAGCACTGCAAAACTCCTCAAACCAACGACAGCAATTGTCTGAGGACAAGGAGGACAAATATCCAACATCGACGATCAACCTCCGGCGTCCCAGGATGCCAGCGAATAGCACTTCAAGTAAAACGATCCTCCGGATCTGCTCGCACACAAAGGCCTTCCGAACAGGGCCTCACTACATGGGCCCCACCATGGTGTTCAAGGTTTCTGCGTTGTTGTGTCTCTTCAATGATTGAAAGGTTTTTTGCCATATTCCATGTCCACTTCCATGTCCTTCTTTTCCCAAGTATTCTAGTCTGCTTTGAAGCAACATAGAACATTGGGATGATAAAGCCACACACACAGGGGTATACTTCAGGCCAGTGTATACCGTATGGATGCACGTTGAATGTCCAAGTAGGTAACACACTTTTCTGATCAAGCATTGCAACATGAAGTTCAGCACTGTCAGGTCAATGAGGGGATTCCACAAATACACCCGGACCGAAGGTGCTGAGGCGTTGTCTTGGACCGGCGTAAACCGCTAGTAATGGCTCGATCGGTGCTTTTATGGTGCTTTTATGTCTCTAGAATGTGCTGTTTTCGTGGCTATTAAAAACGAGCAAATAGCCCCCGGCGACCCGAGCCAAGGCTGCCTCCGAATCGCAGCAGCTAGATCATCAATCTACGATATGTTCGTTCCAAGAATGCATCGTCGTGACAAAAGAGGCTGCCCAGGGGGGATTCGTGCTTTTTTGGTGCCCTTCGCTTCCTGCAACTGGTTCCTCTTTGGAGAACCTCATCTAAACTATCCCACGTATCCCATCAGTCTCAAGAAATCTTTGCTTCGAAGAGTCTCATCAAACCAAATATCTTATTCCGCTCTAAACCTGCGGCGGTCACTAAGCAAATGCACCCAGCCATTTCAATTGTGCCCATGCACGCGCACAGGCCTTCGGCACCCCAAACCGCTGCCACTTGGCTGGGCAGGGCAGGGGTCTGGATTAGGGCTGCCAAAATGCCTCGGACAGCGACCCAAGACGATATGGAAAATACGGGAGGGAAACCTGATACGGGGAGATACAGGAGCATATGACCATAATATCCAAGGAGGCTATGAAAGCTAGGGACGTGGGATTGTGGTGACGTGGGCCTCGGCTTTCCATGCCTTGCCAAGAGCCCTGAGAACGTCTAGAACGATACTCCACTCTGCAAACGATTGACCTCACTGTTTCCTTCATGTCCGGAGGTAGACAATCAATTTCAATTTCAATCTGGTCCAAAATACTCCGCGAAGAATTCGGGTGCCAAATCTTTGATCCTCAAAAGGGAACTTGGACGATGTAGTGCGAAGGATGTGCGCATCGTGCAGAGGGGACCTGGATGGATGATCTGGACTTGGATGGATGATTCTGAACATATCTGAACAAACACACATGTTGTAAACAATGGATCTTCTGTGATCGGTTCATGTCACAACATCGGTGATAGATCTACCACCGCCTGCTCTTGTCTTCATAACTCTCAGGCTCGGTCTCATCGATTCCGAGGCACTGCGGTCACGTAGTGCAACATCATTTTGCAGGCAGAACAAGGCTCAGCAAAGAGAACCACAAGAGAACCACTGGCTTGCAGTGGTTTAACCGGCTTGCAGGCTTGCAGCTGTCCAGATTGTTGCTCTGAGGGCTCCAAGATCAATCACCTCTTCCCGCGGAAAAAGAGCTTCACCTCAAAACCATGTGTGTGGTTTTAAAGTGTTCTTGCTTGGGAGAATGGCTCAAGTCACTGCCGGGGCTCTCCCATTGAGACACAAGCCATCGCATCAGTTCCGCTTTCGAGATTTTTGTTGCCTGTTCTGTTTTCAATCTTTTTCCCGACCTAGTGCAAACGATGCTTGGTCACTGATGCTGCCCACCCAACCCCAAGGTCGCGGTGGTTCAAGGGTCCCGGGGCATGGTGCCACCAACTCAAGGGAATGGACCTGGAAAGATATAACGATCCTACAAAGATTCTACACTAATGAAACTCATACTAGAACCATCCAATGGGTGTCCAATGGACATCTCTAGTCCAGGTAGAATTTTTTGAAGCTTTTCTAGTAGAAAGAAAACTCATAGGAATGGCCTCCAACCTAAAAGCCATAGCCTCCAACCTAGTAGGGATGGCCTCCAACCTAAGAGCAATGGCCCTACTAGCGATGGCCTCTAAATTCTTGAAGCTTTTCTGTTTCAGAATTGACTTGAGAATGGGATTCTCAGAGGATTCTCAGACCCCCAGCCACGATCTATGTCTGCTGCGGTCTTGTGGGCAGCAAATTGACAGCCAATCCAGGTGGCTCGTTCCGACTCTATTGAAATAAACATGCCTTTCCTTCAGTGTGAGAAAAAAGGCCATGTAAGCCCTATATAGGCTTCCTGCCCGGCCCTACCATTGATTGAATGGTTCGAATATGTTCAAATTCCCCAGAAAGAGAACATGGTCTTAAGTCTCAACACGTACTTCTAGATGACCCAATCCAGGTCAACCATGCGAACCGAAAGCTCGGATAAAGCTTCAAAGGACAAACTGAAAGGCTTCAAAGGTGGTCGCCATGGAAGGTTGGACGTGTTGGATGTATGGCTGCGGATCCAGGGAGCAGTTTCTGAAGTCTGGTGAAGAGGAGACATGTTCAGTGGTTTCTGGTTTTGGGAGAATGTTGCCCTTTTGACTAGTGCAGTAACTTTGCATGAACAGGCTCTGTCTCGGGAGGGATTCCGGGAAGGAATGCTAAAATTCCGTGTGTGTGTGTATATATATATATAATACTATATTATATAATCTATGTAAACTTATATATGTGATTGGAATTGCAATTCCAACAAGCTTAATAACGTACTAAAGTCTTAAATTAAAGTCATCAGTTCGGCAGGTCAGCGTATCATGAACGGTTCTGAAATTCCAAGCATCTTTTTGCCAAAGTCTTCGCCACTTGCCACAGGATGATGGCTGCTGTCATAAAACCGTGCATCCCCTTAAGGGAGTAGACACTTTCATAGCACACAGCACAGTCAAGATATATCAAGGTCACTGAACATCCTCATGATTTGTCGACCGACAAACAGCTTTGCATAGGAAATACCACGCGGCACCCCAACACCAGCGACTCTGCACCCGTTTCCAACTTCAGGTGAGTGGAGAGGATTTCTGAGGTCAAGAGAGCGTAGCAAGCCAACATCAAGTGGCATACATAGAAGGAGCAATAAAACAACAGAACACAACATAACACATAGGTGGAGGATGTTCCTTGAAATGAATATGTCCATGTTTGTCACGCTCTCCTTGCATGGTCCGAAAAAGAAACGAGTGCTGTCTGCTCATCAAGCACGTCTGCACATCTGGCACCTAAACTACTTGTAAACGATTTGCTCTGCAGCTGTACATGCTTCCACCCGCCCACCCGACTCGCAGACCTGGTCGACGCCGTTTTGGGCACCAAGGAGGCTTTCCCATCGTCGGCGGGTTGGGTCGATGCTATGCTTTTTCAGCATGGGAGAAGTCCCTTTTCAAGGAGCCTGTGCGCCTTGAAAAAGCAAGAACAACATCCATCCACAAACATGAAATCTGCGCACCAGCCTGAGGTTTAAGTTAGGTCTCAACATAGATCAACTGGCAGGTGGCATTGAGGGAATTCCTTATATCTAAACCCTTGGAAGATCTGCATCATTTCTCTATACTTGCTAATTGAAACGCGAATGGTGTCCCTCTGTCTCCAGAAAATATTCATCTATGCTCTATGGATACAGGTGTTCATGTTGGATGCACCTTTGTTGCATTATGAATGTCATGATGAACTGGGTGGGGTTTGGACTAGCTGAACAAGCCAGGTCTATTTCAGCAATACTTAATGTACGCATATATGTACACTCTCGATTCATAACACCCAAACCTGAAGAGGTTGTTCAATACATGTCTGATGGGGCGGGAAGTTTACTAAATCAAGAGTCTGTTAATTTTTTGTATTGACCAACTTTCGCGCGGTTTCTGACTTGACCGCCCTCCAAGTCGCCTCTCTCCCGCATCGCTAG